GTATCGATACGTTCCTTATCTCTACCGTCCAGACCCGTGGGAGGCCGACAACACAACAGCCATGCCACATGCGCAATCACCTCATCGGCCCTCCTCCGCAGACGTGGGTGCTGAATTCGACAACGTCCAGTCATCTCAAGACGCCTTTTGTGAACCCTTCCAGCCCTCCAAAGACGCTTTTTGTACCCCGCTTCCCTTTCACACCCATAACCCGGTGTTGTCTCTTTCCCCCAGGCTGCCTATTGAGGTCCCGCTCACCGCACCTTCCGATCAGGGACCTGCACCTTCCAACAACGACACTACCCCGCACTCTGCCATGAGCCTCGACGAACAAGAGCCAATGCAGTGGACTGCCCCGACCAACTTCCTCCTCAGCTCCATGACCCAGAATGGCGCGGGTTACAATGCGTCTAACCCGATTCCACATGGTACCGGAGACTTCTACAACTACGCCGAGAACGGAATGTCATACAACGACAACTTCACTATGGCGTACCCGACTCAGTATTCCAGCGCAAGCTGCCCCCGGTCCTACACCGGCGTTGACCTCTCTGGCCTTCCTGCCGATATTAGTATGACCGACTCGCATCCACCCACCGCATACCACATCGAACCGCCGAACCACCTTGACGCTATGGATCTGTCAGATCATGAGATCAACGGCCAGCTCATGCAACTGAGCAACGACTTCGACCATCATCCGTATGGCGCGCATATGAAGGTCGAGGATTCCAATGGCTACCAGAGCCCGTACTCTGACCTGACCCGCGCATCCACTCCTCATGACGATCCACCTCGACATCCCCACGAACTCTCTGGAGATGGCGTCATCGACAAAGAGCAGCCCTACGCACAGCTGATCTACCAAGCCCTCCTCAATGCGCCCAACAACACAATGATCCTCCGCGATATCTACGAGTGGTTCAAGGCCAACACCGACAAGGCGAGTGCTTCAGAAACAAAAGGCTGGCAGAACAGCATCCGACACAATCTGTCAATGAATGGGGTAAGTCATATCTCCTCCTCCTTCACCGTTCTACCTCTCTTCTCTAGTACATACTAATCTGCCCAGGCCTTCGAGAAAGTCGACCAACCAGGCGAAGAATCCCGCAAAGGCTTCATGTGGCGCTTAACCGACGAAGCCATCCGCGAAGGCGTCAAATCTACAACCCGCTATCGCAGCAAGCAGCCCAATAAACGAGGCCACCGGACCCAGCAACCGCAGCCCCAGCGACAAGCCTCCGGCGCCAAGGGCGGCCAGGCTGCACGCCGCTCAGCAAGAATGAAACGAAGTGGAAGAATGCACGACGCGTATCGCAATGGCAACGACCAGTACATGTCCCGGTCTGTGCCCGCAGCTTTCGATCCGAATTATCGCAGCGTACCAGCCGATGCCTACCCTCCGAGCCCGTACTACGGAAGCGACGTGGACTTTGGCTACCCGTCGTCGTCATCTTCTCGAACCGATGACTTCACCCTCAACAATCCCAACGCCAACGTCCTTGGTCCACACCACCACGCCCATCTCGATCTCTTCTCTCCACCTACGCGATCCTACCCGGGTAGTCCTATGTCGCAACACCACCACGATGTATCGCACGCTATGTCCACACACTCGCTATCGCAAGGTCTACCACATGGTCTGCCTATTGGAGACACGGCGTACGTGCTTGAGCAGAGTCCAGAGGGAGGTTTGTTTTCTAATAGCCCTAGTCCGAGTGCGGATGAGCCGAGAACGCCTGTGGATCAGGGGGGTTGGCGTGAGGATGTTGGGATGGGAATGGGTATGGCTGGGTGTGTGTTTGAGGATGCGGCGGGGATGGGCTACCGGGCTTACACTGGTTGAGAGGATCGTCGGGATGGAAGATGAGGCAAAGGTGTCGCTTTGAGGATGGAATGAATGTTGGTAAACGTTCTTTTCCCCTGTATTGTATGGTTGTATTCTGCTTTCGGCTGGAGCTGGGAGTTGCGGGTTGCATAGCATGGTTTTGGGTAGCGTTACGATGTATATTCAGTGCATCACCTCAATCGTTGGCATAGCGATGGCGGCCTGCCGCCACTGGGAGCTTATCTCTAATCGTAGCATAGCAATGCGTGTTTCTAGCAGCGTTCCATCCCTTTTCACCAACGTGATTACACACTGACTCCTCTCTTCCCGCGTTCTTCCTTACATGTAGTCGATGGTTCGAGAGACGAGCTGTCGTCTCGTCAATTCTACAGACGTTGTGACAGGCTCAAGCGAATGACGCAGACCCTGGTTCAGCGGATGCAGATTTTACTTCCGCGATGCTGGTATGCAAGCCATGATTCTAGTATCGGCCCTATTATTGGACTTCACATGGTATTTCCGTTCAGCTTACACTTCGGGGTGAGACGAATGATAGCGATATCTCAATATGAATTGTCTAAGATGTCCGCTGAGGGTGATTGGAGATGGAAAGGACTGACTGTTTTTTACGGTCAAGTTTCTCAACATCAGTCTTCTCGATGGCCTCTCGCACGTCCTTGCATTGGCAAAGAAATCCTGCTGCTAAGCTTTCGGGACGGAACGAAGACAGTGGGCTTGGCTTTGGGTATCTCACCAGTGTGCTCTGACCAAAGACAATGTCCATTGTGGATAAGTTCCGAAACCTCCAGGACAAAGGATAAGTTGGTAAACATCGAGCGAAATTACCGGAGCCCGCCCGGATAAGTAATCGCGGTAAGCCCATCTCCTGTCCGTGATGAAAGCATCGCAACTCAGCCCAGCCCTTCCAAGCAGCCACCACTTGCTTAACCACGCCGGCCGTTCCGCGGCAAAATCTTCGCCCGCCACGTTCACTCAACAGCTCACCCCAGAAACACAGCCGTTGACGCGTAGAAGCCATAGACCGTCTTTTTGCGATTTGTCGTGGGGCGAGCACGCACCGGAAATCTGGGGTCGCAGAAACTCCACCAATGGCGCTGGCCAAGCGCCCAGAAGTGTGGGGAAAGCTTCGCTGATCTTGGCTTAGCGCCACAGTTATGACCCGTTTAGCCACGCGTGGCCGTGAGGGGACCCCAGGATCAAGGGGATGATCGAAGAGTTCCTCCGCGCCATCCAATTTTACGGGAGCGGGTATCTTGAGCTGGTTCCAGGGCCAAGGCCGCGGCTCGGACGGCTGGGGATGATGCGATGGGGGTATATTAGGTGGTCGGGGTCGCGATGGTTTGCGAGCTACAGACGTTAATCTCCAGCTTTTCAATCAAGAAAATCGGCATATACGTCTGCCAATATGCGCGTCACCGAGCTTTTCACGTGCGCTTTGCTGCAAGCATCAGCGGTACTATCTACACCTCTCGATGAGCGAAGCGTCAAGGTCGTTGCGTCGAAGAGGCCTCACCACCCGGCGTATCCTTACCACCCAAAGAAGGCATGCCCAGTGTCGCCGCCACGAACCAAGACCTGCAGCGTCAAGGCTCTCGGAAACGGCAAGGATGACTCCGCAAACATCCTGAAGGCGATCAAGCAATGTAACAATGGTGGTCATGTCGTCTTCCCGAAGGACCAGAAGTTCACCATCGGAACCGCGCTGGATCTTACATTCCTCAACAGCATTGACCTGGGTATGTCACCTCCGAGAATCTATTATCTTCCATTACTGACTATCGCAAAGACATCCAAGGCTCCATCCAATTCACAAACGACACAGACTACTGGCAAGCCAACTCGTTCAAGCAAATCTACCAAAACGCCACCACCTTTTTCCAGCTCGGCGGTAAAGACGTCAACGTCTACGGCGGCGGCACCCTCGACGGAAACGGCCAGGCCTGGTATGACCTCTACGCCAAGGATATCTACATCCTGCGGCCCATTCTCTTCGGTGTCATCGGCGCGGAAGGTGCCACGATCTCTGATTTGAAGTTCCGATACAGTCCGCAGTGGTACACGTTCGTTGCCAACTCGACCGACGTGGTGTTCGACAACATCGACATCTTCGGCGGTAGCAAGAGCAAGAACCCTGCTAAGAACACGGATGGCTGGGACACGTACCGTTCCGACAACATTGTGATCCAAAACTCGCATATCGACAACGGCGACGATTGCGTTTCCTTCAAGCCCAACAGCACCAACATCGTTGTTCAGAACCTCATCTGCAACGGTAGCCACGGTATTAGTGTTGGTTCTCTGGGCCAGTACCCAGGAGAGGTTGATATCGTCGAGAACATCTACGTGTACAATATCAGCATGTCGAATGCTTCCGATGGTGCGCGTATCAAGGTCTGGCCTGGTGCTTCTTCTGCTCTCTCCGGTGATCTTCAGGGAGGAGGTGGCGGTGGTGCCGTTAAGAACATTACGTACGACGGCATGAGCATTTCTAACGTCGACTACGCGATTGAGATTACTCAATGCTACGGTCAGAAGAATTTGACTCTTTGCAACCAGGTATGCCCTTGCTTCCCACCAATCAATTACTTGTCGAAGACTAACGCGATCGCAGTTCCCCTCCAACCTCACCATCTCCGACATCACGGTCAAGAACTTCCACGGCACGACCAGCAAGAAGTACGACCCGCTTGTGGGTTACCTGGTCTGCTCCAGCCCAGCGGTTTGCTCCAACATCAACATTGAGAATGTTAATGTTACGAGCCCGAGTGGAACGAACCAGTACACTTGCTTGAACATTGACGGGATTGAGAGCCAGGTTAACTGCACTACCAATGGCGGTCAGGGCGGAGAGTCAGGAGGGAACTGAGGGTGCTTGAGTAGTTATTGAAAAACACCGTTCATTGTTTAGACTTCTCCGTTTCTTTTGCTGTTCCGTCGTGATGACATGGTGCACGCTGCAGATGTTCGGATCGTAGCGGAAGCGCTTTTGGTAAGCGACAATAGTCTGGTACAGGCCCAAGGTACCACCGAAAGGACATCCGGAAATATCTTTTCCCAGCAAAACTACTGGTCTGGGCTTGCTGAATATACATGGGCGTCATTGCAGTACCCAGACATTTAGGCATCGATGGGCTTGGTCCTAGCAATCAACATGCTTGGTATGGGGGCGAACCTACCATTACTTTGGGCTCTGAGTGAAATAGCCGAGAGTTCTCTGGCCTCCAGTGGCGACCGTACTTCGACCACTATAGTCAAAGGTTGCGAGTAGGAGCCTGATGCGTGATGCACAGACTTGGCGTAATTGTACTGCACCCCTATATATGACCGCTCGCTTCCGGGCCCTGGTCAAGATCTCAACGAACCAGTCAACCAACCCGAAGATTTCTACACGTTAGCAAAGCACCCAAGACATGTCTGCTTCCCCAAGTAACGTGTTACCCGAGGGTATCGAGCGCAAGAAGAAGAAGAGTGGATGGGCTAGATCGCGAGCGCGAAAAGCTCGGAAGGTTGCCCAAGCAGGTTCGGGTGAGCCGCAACAGAAAGCCGAGACCATGCACAAGGCTCATGAGCAGCCGGAAGCGGTGCGGGAGAAGAAGATCAAGAAAGAAGAAGCTCGAGTGAAGCGCGAGCAGGAGGCGCAAGCAGCGCACGCTGAGAAGATGAGAAAGAAGGAAGAGGCGAAACTGAAGCGGGAACAGGAGGCGCAAGCAGCGCACGCCGAGAAGATGAAGAAGCTGACCGCTAAGCGTGCGTTCCTTGTCCACTCCTATGACGATCTCCGTCCATACCGTCGATACACTCACATCTACGGTGAACGTAAGTTCCAGAAGCCTGTGGTAAGTATCCTATGGATCTGGACACATAATGGTATACTCACAAGTCTGTAGAACAAGCCTCAGATTGTCGGCTTCCTCGATATGCCTCTCGAGATCCGTCTGATAGTCTACGGGCATGCCCTTGAATTCGACGAGCCGATCGAGCTGTGGCCAGAGACCGGAGACATGGATACCGAGTATTACCGAAGAATACGCAACGGGTCTAGACTTCGAAAAATGTTCGGCAGACGCGGCGCACGCAACCTCGGCTTGCTACGTACATGCAAGCAAGTATGCGCTGAAGCCACTGAGGTCTTCTATGGCAACAATGAATTCCGCTTCTCGGGTCTCAACGGCCACATGGTAGCGTATGCGTTCGCGACGAAGATTGGGTCGAGGAACCTGGGATTCATAAAATCCATGACCATGGCTATACCTTGCCGCTCGGAGGACCGCGGTTGCATGGCCTCACACTGGAACCCACACACCTGGCTTCGCACACACGACGTATACGACCTCATGCCTTTCCCATATCCGTGGACAAAAGGAAAACTCCGTAAGCGCTTCCCGCGACTAGACTTCGAAGACTCGTGGAGTAGTCTGGCTTGGATGCTGGCGGGCGCCCATAGACTCAACCAGATCACATTCGTCCTGCCCCACTATATCCGGTACCGCCGCGTGGCGTGGGGTCTGCATCGCTATGTGAGGTGTTGCGGACGACGACTTGTCAGTGCAATGGACGATATCGTAGCGGCAAAGCCATTTCTCCAGGTTGCAATCGTACGCATGTTCAAGGATCCGAGTGAGGACGCCTCCTGTGACAGCAGTCAGCGCTGCCTCATCAAAGAACTGAAGTCGACTGTGTTCTGCAACGTTCGTCTGGCTAGATTCTGTAAGAACCAGAATTGGGAACTTGACCCCCAGCCATACGTTGACAGGGATGGCGAATTTGTCGAGGACCAGGCATTGGATGCGAGCGAGAACCCATTGGACATGCTTCCCGATATCGAGCGTTTGTTCGTGAGGGCGTCAGCTGAGTAGACGAGATATGGCTTAAGGGTTCGTTTCCGTGTGCGCGGCGATAGCCAGCGAAATGCTTTCCGGAGGCGCGACTTCAGTTTGCGGCTAGAAGTTTAGAGAGCTGTATCGACGTTATTAGCGTGAGGAAACGGTGATAGGAGCGCAATAAAGACAACACAGTTGCGCTTTCGCCTTTGAAGTGTGAGGTATAATGTCATCGCGCTGTGCTACGAGCTGGCGCTGAGTTGTCGTGTTGTTGGTGCCGTCGCGAAAGGCAGAAGGCGCGACTTCGACCGGTGACACGATGACGTAACGCATCATCACCTGTCTGCTGTGCTGTGATTGGTTGTCGCGTACACTCTTCTCCGCGCGCAGCCCACGAGCATCCTACATCGTAATGCGAGTCCACAACGACATTGCTGCTTGCCTAATTGCCTAGTCTCTAGGAGCAGCGGAACCACGATCATTTTTCATACGTGTCACCCGCGTATGCAACGCGCCTCCACAACCTATGTCAGTGCCTGCAATTGCGTCTTCGTCGTGTAGACCAATAACAGTATATAGTGCGACCATGCATAAGCTCGCCATAGCATTCATAGACAGCACCTTACACCTGCAAACGTATCCGATAACTCCCCTACCTCGACTCGGTCATATTCACTCATTTCAAGAACCAAGAATCTTACTTTGGTATGAATTGGTTGCTATATAGCTTGCGCTATCGAGCTAGACACATCCATGCATCCTACGATGCTTGCAGTTTCGCTGATGAAGAGACAACGAACTCAAACGCTTTCGTATGCGGCAAGTTCCTTCCCATGATCAGAGGACCAGTTGCTGGGGAAAATAGAAATGAAGAACAAGCACGATAAAACCATGTGATAGACCGAGGAGCGGGAAAGTGGGTTTCAGAGGGACGGAAGTCATCACTGAACCTCCACCGTATCCCAATTCGTCCTTGGTGCGATGGAAAGAAACCCCTTGACACGAGAGCTTCCAAAACGCAGTGGAGAGCTCGAATCCGCATTCGAAATGCTAGAACGCATTAGCGAATTATCCCGATAATATCGTCAGATCATACCTCTATTCCCACCTATGTGACTTCCTCAGGAACTCCAACAACGAGCCCTTAACGCAAGGACCGACATGACTGTTGACCAGCCAATTCCAGTCATTCGTGAGTTTGTAATCAACCCACCCAGTCACCGTATAACTGTTGTCCAGGTATGAATTAACCAGAGTGTCCAACCCGAGCTCAGTTTGCCATGACGCTTCTTTCGCTTGACCAAATCCATTTGTCCAGATAGTAGGGCACGGAAGATCGGCACAGTTGGGATAGGTCTTCAGAAAATCGTATATGAAGAGAAGAACGCCAACTTTCAGTTGGTCTAGGGACAACGTGAAGCAGTGGTTTGGTGTCTCAGAATCGAGCGGATGGCGTACCTCGATCTCTAAATGGACTTTGCGGTTGACCGAATCCATCGCAGATAAAAGTAGCAGTGCATCGAACCGAACATCTTCAAGAGTAGAGTGCTTCGGTAGGTCGAAATACAGATGAAAGTAGTGCGGGCGACCCCGTAGTCGGATGGCTGTGAATCTCTCCAGCTCGGTCGCAAAGTTGTATTTCGGCGTCGAAGTTGCTGATTTGAAGGTTGAATTGACATCGCAAACTTCTGAGATGGTTTCGTGACGTAACCAACGATTCAGCCCAGCTAGGCTTCTAAGGTTGCTGTTCGTAGTCTGGTGCGCCAAGTCGAAGGTTAGTTCAACTCCTGGGGGCTGGAACAAATCGAAAAGCCTCTTCCTAACGGAGTATATACTCATGAGGTCGCAGAAATCTGTGTTCCTATTCGGCGGGATCACACGCAGCTCGCCTTCATCGCTGATTGACATGCGGCCTTTCGTCATCCAGTTACCACCACCAGAGTCATTATGGCGGTATGAAACATATACTTTCGATTCATCTGTATCGAGTCCGACCCTCAACAGCATTTTAGAAATCCAATACTTCCTAAGAAGGTTCGAGGGATCAGCGGTGAGCGTACTCAAGCTTTTGTTAATCTCAGCCGTGTGGCTGGCGGACCATTCCCGATTGCTTTGGAAGTACGATATACTACTGTGCACCTCGGGTGGTGCCACAAATAGAACGTTCATTTTCTTGTGTTCCAGCTTCCAGGTATACTCCAGTATTGGTAGGACTTCTAAGGTTTCGTCGGCGTCAAGCAAGTTATTGACATCAAGCTGGATGACGCAAAGAGAAAACGACTGTTTGCCAATTATGCGAAGCCAGCCCATAGCCCAGATAATGCCACTACGCTCGTCCGCATCTTCGGGGAGCCCTAAACGGAACACGTTTCGTGCGTACAAGACACCAGTGGCCTCATACTGGATTTGACAACATGACTGGAGGAGCGCAGTTCCGGAGATAATACTGTCGGAGCGGTAGCCGGAGTGGTAGCGGAGTCGATTGATGTTCTTCGCATGGATCTGAATAGGATATTCGTGAATGAAGAGTGCCTCGTAGATGGCGTTGCGAACTTCTCCGGGCAGAGTCAACAATGAAGGCGCATTGCGGTCGATTGGGTGCGATACTGGCGGCGGAACGTTGTCTGTTGGACTCGCTGGTTTCGTGTCTGCTTGCGCATTCGCGACCTTGGTGACAGCCATGTCGGTTGACTCCGCGTCACTGGGGGTAGCGGCAGTCGCGCCGCCGGCTGTGGTACTGGGTATCGCGCTCATGTCGCTCACTGTCACGCTGCGAGGATGGTCTCAGTCGCCGTAGCGCTGGCGATCAGTATCTTGAAATGGTTGTGTGAGAGGACAAAGAAGGGTAATCGCCGCTAGTGGGAAAAGCTTGCAGAGTCGAAGATTATGAGGTGAGAGAGCGCGACTGCCAAGACTGTGGCCGTTTGCTGCACCAGATGGAAAGAGCTACGTCATGGATAGCGATAACCGCAGAACATCTTACGATACGCCCTGTACTTACGCGAAGAAAGGTTTGCGAAGCTGGATCAGATTGCACTGTACCAATGCTCGATGCACGCATTGGTGTATGTGACGCATAATAAGGTTAGCCAGTTCGGGGGAGAGACCAAACACGTACTGAATCTAGCAAAGGTTACCCTAGAGTATACATTGCCATTCGATGTTCCAGTAGTAATTAGTTTTATGAGGTGCGATGACGCTATTATCTCATACCACAGCACCTGGCATTAAGGGACGACCGAATGCATGTCGCATTAGGTATTCCACAAGACAATTCTAGTTTGAAGCATACATTGTCCTAGCCACCCTGGACTTGTCCATATTTGATAGGCTGCATGCAGCAAAATCCATCGCCTACCTAAAACCACAACCGTGTTGCGAAATCCCCCATAGAGTCAGGCGGAAAATTACCTGGAATGAGCATGCTTTTCAACATCTCTGCAATCTCCAAGAAGCGCGATTGCATGATTGTCGAGCTGATGCCCACGTTCTCATTTACGATCGGCTCGATAGAACCTTTGCTCAAGTCGCACTCGGCTTCCCGCGCCTCGCCCCTGCCACTCATCCAGATCCTTGATAGTTGCGCTAACATGTGCTCTGGATTTTTCTTGAAGATCTGGTACATGAAGAGAAGAATGCTCTGTCGTATATCCTCAAGAGAGATAGTGTAGCTGTTGAGTGGGGCAGTGCCAGATTCGCTATAGACCTCGATGCACACAGGCTTTTGTAGGCAGTGGCAGTGAAAACCCGTCGCATGCAGTAGTGCGAGAGCATCAAGCCGTACATCGTCCAAGGAGGCGCTATTGTCCAGATAGTAGCGCATGGTTATATTCGTAGGAGTTCCGAGAGGCAGTCCGCGGAGTATGTTTAGTTCCGCGGTGAAAGCTGCCGAGGTACTCATACTTGTCAATGTGACACCGAATGCTCCTTCCCGGAAAACCCTCTCGTGTGTACCAGTCAAGCAAGTAGTTACCGATGCGATGTAGGCCACATCTACGTTTGCTGTCCGGTTTGTGAGGTCAAAGATAATGTCCTCGTCTGGACACAATGCCATGGTCAAGATAGAGTTTCGAATCTCGCGGGACGACATAATGCGTTTGATGTCCGTAATCGGTATTCTTTTCGAAAATGTACTCTCCGCACCGTTGCCGACAATATCAATAATGTCCATAGCTAGCGGGCGGTCGCCGCTGTTAGTTGTTTCATAGTAATGAAGGTGAGCATAGTGGTCCAGGAAGTTCAGGCAGACTGTTCGCAGTAATGAAGGCACGGAACAAAACCTTTTGATCATTCCTGACGGATCATCAATGATTGTAGCCATCTGCCTGTTACATGAGACCGCGTTTATCTCGGCTGTTCTGTCAAGGTCGTCGCCTGGGGGGTCCCATTCTGGAGACCATCTTGGGAGAAATTCAACCTTTAAAGCCGCACGATCAGGCTTCCATGCTTGATATAGTATAGGCGATATATTGATGACATCATCTGTACCGTGGAACACGTTGTCGATGTAGATTTGAAGATGTCGAACAGAGGAAGACTGTCTACCAATATCGTCGAGCCAGGCCATTGCCCATGCAATTGGTTCAGCAGTGTAGGGGTCTTCCACCAAACTCACACAGAAGATGTTCCGGCTGTAGAGAATACCCGTTGCTTCCTCGTGAATCTGACGGCATGTTCGAAGTATCGCGATCCCACGTACATCTCGCGACTGGTAACAGGAGGAGGCGCCGTACGCATACCGATCGCGGGAGATTGTAATGGGGTGTCGTAACTCGAATAAAGCTTCGAAGATAGCATTGCGGACTTCGCCTGGTATTGTTGTCAAGAGAGACGGTGCCTCTGGGCTGATGGAGTGTGACTGCATCGACATGGTTTGGCCAGATATCGCGGAAGCGGAGTCGTCGTTTGCCGCGCTCATGTCTTCGACTACGTACAATTCTGGTAGTTGTTGGTGATATGGAGGAGTAGTAGCTCTGACAGAAAAAGCGCGAGATCTAGTGGAGTAGAGTCGAAGTCTAGGACACGCCCCAATATATACGGCAGCGGATACGACAACATCCGTGCGCGCAGTGAAGTCAGAAGAGTCTACGTGATGAGAGTTGAATGTGACGTTCATATTACAAACATTCTCTTTGTATGTGAAGAGGATGCGTTGGTAAACCAAGCGAATGCGAGGACCGAACACCCGTGTCGGTTTCCTTGTCAAGTCGCGCCGTGTTATTGGTGTCAGGAAGGAGGCGGCTTCTGCGAAGACTGATCGAAATCGCTCTGGTCGAAAAGTGCGTATATGTAAGTGTCGTCGTCCGTTACGGCGTGGGCGGGCGAAGACATGGTGGTGTGAGGGGTGTGCGCGGCATGTGACGCTGGTTCGTAGTCTGCAACTTGATCTTTGCCAGATCCTTCCTGTATCGTGCTCCGACAGAGGCAAGGCTGTTATGTGTGATCAGCATAGTGATTTTGTGGGGAACGAGGAGGTTACGGGGCCAGAACAGGTGTTGTAGGCAGGCTGAGAGCGGGGCCGAGTTCTCACACCCATTTGGGCAGGCGCGGCTGAACGCCACACCCCATTCCCGAACATTGTTAGAGCGACTAGGAGGGGAAAGAGCAAACTGGACAAGTAACCTTGGGTATGAGTATCAAGAACCAAAGAATGATACATGAATATACATAAGTGACGCGAAGTGTGCAGCGCATAGCATGACAGCACGAGCGGCGGATGCTACGGGACAGACTCATTTCATTGAGCTCCAAGCCCCATCTTCTGCAACACGCTGGCCAAGTCAACCTCCACAATCTTGTCCCAGCCCCTCTCAGGGCCCCAGGCAACGCGCTTCTGATTGAGCTTGGTCTCTTCTACCAGGCCCTTCAGCAGCGGGCTGTCTTTGGACACGCTTGGGTATGCGTCAAACTCCACGTCGTCAATCGACGGCACCTGCGCGAGCAAGCCTCTGAGCAGCCCGACGCAGTACTCAGTATAGAAGTTGTTCCCCACGCGCCAGCCCTCAAAGACCTCGTTCGATGCCGGGTCTATCTCTACAAAGATTTTCAATTTGTACACCTTCTTCACCGCCGCCAGACCCAGCCGGCTATCCACGACCCAGCATTTCGGCGGTTTCGTGAAGCCCGGCCCCAGCCGCAGCTCTAAGCGCGTAAGGAGCGCGCGATATTTGCGAGGGAACCATGCAAGTAGCGGGTGCTTGCGGTTTATGTAGCGGCCGTGGATGGGGAACACGCGGAAGGTATTGCGACCGTAGAAGACGCGCGACGCTTCATCGTGCATGCGGTGGTCGACGAGGAAGAGGCGGAGGGCGGGGGCGACGGTGCGGTAGTTCGTAGGGTCGAGGTCGATGGTCTTGGTAAAGACTAAGAGCTCTTCGTATATGCGCAGCCGCAGCTCGGATGGCAGATCAAAGAAGCGGAAGGGCTGGCGCTTCACAGATTTCTTATCATCTTCCTGCGCATCGTCTTGAGCATCGGGCGGCGGGGCAGCGCGCTCATCCACCAGCCGCACTTTGCTCATGCGATTGACCATGTGGTCAATCGCCTTGGTCTTACGGGCCATCTTATTGTACAGCGCTTCCAAAGCGATCACGTCTACCGCCTTGGTCGCGCTTATGCATCCATCGTGTCACTCGTGCGTATACGTGTCGGTATCGTTCGAGGCGGAGGGAGACGTCGCAATGATGAAAATTTCTTAATGGAATGTCTCGGAGCCACGGGACCGACAGCCCATTCGGTAGGGGCAGGCAGTTCTTGGGGGCAAAGATGTATGTTCTCCCCAGCTTATGTCAACTTCAATCTTGTAGAGGAACAAAGAGTGAGGTCAAATTTCGTGGGTGCAACTTTCTATATGGAAAAGAAGAGAGGGTGGCGGCGGCGCGGAGAGTTTTGTTCGAGATCCGGCTGGTGGATTAGTCAGCGTGTGACCGAGGTAGCGCCGCGCGACCCACCGACGCCCTGACATCACCCTCTAGCTCACTCCTAGAATGGCAGACACCACCCTCCCCCCGCAGGCAAGCGATGCTGCTACGGAAAGCAGTCTTTTGCTCAAGTGGTTCGGCATCGAGGATCCGGAACCACGAACCCCATTTAATCCATTGGCCATTTCCTCCCTAATTACTCCATCGCCCATTCCTCTGGAACTACGAGCCCGATTGCTTGACGCGGCAGCCTATTTCGAGAGCCCCGAGTACTGCGCGACCTCTGGCCCTAGTTTGAGCGAAAGGCGTAGCCTCTTTTTGGACGCGGCAGCTAGAAACATCAATCTCACGTCTTTGCGTAGGTGGCACGCTTGGAAGCATTCCCTTGTTGCTCTACTTGATGCACAGCTTGCCAGATATCCAGTAGACTCAGGACCGTCGCCTTCAACTTCAGATCCAAGTAATGAACATGGCCGGAATCCATCGTCGACTGCATCCGCTGCTCACCGCGTTTTGAACATAGCGGAACTGGTCGAGCAGATCTTATACAGCGCGGACCTTCAGACCCAACTGCACGTCGGCCAAGTCTGTACGCTATGGCGAGCGACTGTGAAGCGCATTCTTCAGGACCCCTTCGAAAATACACCGCATCAGAACCCGGTCGAATACTCCGATGTGTGTTCGACCAACAATGACAACCTTCATGTAACCCCCGAAGAGCTACTTGCTTTCGAAGAAAAGGTCCACGCAATGTGTTTGATTCTCCTGGATACAAATGGATGGAACATTTGGACGTACGCACCCGCTCGGCTTACTCAATCGCATAGGCTCAAG